TGTGGCTAGAGAGAACAGTGCAGTCTCTGTAGGTGTGATGTTTTCTGAGCTTCATGGTTCTCTTTAACCCTTCCATCTATTGCTTGAGCTGTGGGTCACAGAGAAAGTTTTTGAACATGGATTTTGTTCATGTTGATCTCTTCTTTCGCACGTTCTCCCGGAGTCCAGTTATAATTCTTCATCTCACATTCTGCTCTTCAGTGCTGGTACAGGGTTACTTCTCTGGGGAGCCCTGATTCCCCCAGAGTTACAAAACTAATGTAGAAATAAAGGCATTATAGTGATCCCCAGCAACTTGCCTTATCAGATTTATTGACCATTTAGTGTAAACAAAGAAATCCTTTGTTCCCTGGTTCAGGTTATTTACTACCTCAGAGCTGTTCCACCCTTACACATCCTTGCTGATGGCCTCAGTCTGAGCTATGTCATAACCTCCACCCCTTCTGTGGTGCTGAGTGTGTGGGGGTGGGTCGCGGCTACCTGGTAGAGGGCATCACTGTATCATGAGTGGTTGGTGAGAAGCTCTTTTCTGCAGCTGCTTTCATTTGTGGATCAGCCTCCTCAACAGTCCCTAAATTCTTTGCTTTTGGACCAACTGCCCTGAGCACGTCACATTCCCAACACCCAACCAAAGTGGAAACAAAATGATGCTTGCATTTTACACCCAAAGAAAAACATCTTTATTCACCTTGCAACATGTTGAATCCTTGTCATAAAAATATTTCATGAGCCGGGCATGGTGGCACATTGCTTATATTCCCAGCACTCAGGGAGGCTGAGGCAGTAGGATCGCCGTGAGTCTGAGGCCAACCTGGTTACCTAGTGAATTCAAAGCCAGCCTGAACTACATAGTGAGACCCTGTCTCAAAAGAAAAAAAAAAATTCATGAAAGAAAAACTAGGAAAATTAGTATAGAGAGCTCTTCCCAGTCCTCATCATGGTCCAGGAAGTTTATGTGTATAATTCCATGAAAGAGTTATTGGAATCCTATCAAGTTAATTCCAATCTACACTCCCAGTGCAACCCACAATGTAAATAAAGACACAATAATATACCCAAAATGGTGAGGAATCGAGGGGTCCTGAGTGCAGCTACCATAACAGCTAACCAGAACAAAGGCCTTGACCCAGGACCAAACCTTGATTTTATTCATTCATGAAGGGAGTAGCCTGAAAATGAGTGACTGTGAGAGTGGCGGGAAGTTTGTGAGTGCTGTGAGTTGGTTGAGTAGGAAGCCTGAAATCATCTCTGCAATATGGAGAGAGAAGCGTATGCAGATAGAACAATCTGCACAGCACAACTGAGGTAGTATGTGATGTTGTGGGGTGGGTGCTTCAGCTCTGATGTGCAATCTTTTATGCCCTGGGAAGTCATAGCGTCTTATCTTGAGGCTCGTTCCCAGCCAACAGCTTGGAGCGCAGCTCTGCATCCCGCCTTGCCTTGGCTCGCTCATTTCACTTGGGAGCGATGGGGAGGGGAAACACTGCCCTGTCTTCTTTGCTTCAAAGACTACACATCAGCACCTGGGCTGGATTGATTCGCATCGCTTAAAGCCAATTGAAGGGATAAGGAAAAGTCCTAGCCAGCTCTGTACTTGTCAGTACACGGAAATAGGGTCAGGTTCAGCCAAAGTGGAGATAACTGCTCCTCTTTCAAGGAAAGTCATCCAGGTGGACCTCCACAAATGAGGTCTTGTGTAATAGTTTCCTTCCTAGAGCCAGGGGTATAGCTCAGCGGCATGATGCCTGCCTAGCAAATGCGAGGTATTGAGTTCAATTCCTGGTTACACACACACACACACACACAAAGAGTGGTTTTCTTCCTAGATTCTGGGACACGGAGGATTACACTGGGGGAGGGATAAAGAGAATGATTTAAAAATGAGAAATGCAGGTCACTCTGGCTTTATTTGTACTAATTGTCAACATTTAACTTCAACTGTCCTCTAGACCATGTTGAACATTATTAATTTCACACTTTTCTCCAAAGAGAAGACAAAAATTAGAAAATACCATTGTTTTCCTACTGCGCATCACAAACCTTCAAACTATTAACATCAAAAGGAGCGCTGTTTATCCCCCTGACCGTTCTGGACTTGAGTGAACCCGCTGAAATCTTGCCTTTCTAGAGGAGGACAGCTCAAGAGGGAAAGCTATAGCAGTTGGCGGTGAGTCGGCATTGCATCACATCGGCTTTCTGACAGTCGACAGACCTCAGGTTAAGAAATAAATAGTAGTAGCTGCCATATGCCATGCACCATATCTTTTTTCAAAACTGTGTTAGGACACATTTACCTTTTTATTTGTTTGTGACAGAGCCTCACACACGCTATGTCAGTGCTCCACCACTGAGCTACACCCCCAGCTCACCACACGTACCTTTTTATCAGCAAGTTCATGGACAGAAAACATATAACTTGGGAAATAGATTAAGAGGGTCTAAAACCCGGCTCTGATACCTATCTCTGAAGTTCTACATCCTCAATTTTTTCATCTATAAAATAGGAATAACAATATCTACTTCACCAACTTTCAAAATCTATTATGTGTTTTATACAGAGCTCCAGCCACTGTTAGACAAAATTACATCAGAGATCATCATCCAAGGTATGATTGTACTGTTTTTTTTTTTAATACTAAGACAGCTGGGAACCATATTTTTTAACTCTAGTAACACTGTGCAAGAATCTCTGGTTTCATTTTAACCACCTCCTTGAATGCCTGTATTAAAATGTTAAAACTCATAGAGCTAAATAAATATTCATCTTGAAATAATTTTTAAAAGTCATTTTACTTGTTGAAATGCAACAGTGCATAACTTCGTGGAGAAGGCAGGGAGTGCTGCTATTTACTCGGTTGTGACTTTTGTGTTTACTTTCTTAATAGGGACCAGATGTGGAGAGACAGGGGTCTGTCCCACCCCACCCCCACACGCTCAGTGCACCATATGGCCCTGAATCAGATTACACTGCGTGTGCCACAGTAAAATACTCAAGTATTCGTGGAAAAGAGAATCCAAGTTTGCTACTAATTTTTACTAGTTTACCCAGCATGCATTTGTCATTTTAAAAATTTGGCTAAGAAAGTTAAAATCCTAAGATAAAAGTTTCTAGAAAAATTTTAAACTGAATTGATAGATCTTAACGTTACTGACAAGGATGCATGTATATTAAATTTTTAGTGGCTTTCGTTAGTACCTGCAAGAAAAGCCTGCAGAGAAGCACTAATGAGATGTCTTCCTACTGTGGCACATAATTTATTAACGAAGATATTGCAGCTGTCAAATTTAAAGCCCACTTCTACTTTATTCACAGAGCTTCTCCTATTAGAATTTTGAAGTAACTGACAGAAACCTCGTAAGATGAGCCCAATCAAACGTTCCTGGGACAGACCATTCAAATGGAAGCTGGTAAAAACACCAGTAAACAGAAGATTCCGGTGCTCTTTTGTTTTTGTTTATATATATATCATACCTGTATATATATTAAGCATAAACTATGTCAAATCCCTAAATAGAAACCCATTATAACTGCCATGGCCCCCAAAATACCAAAATAGAATACTTCAGGTGCTGGAAATATCCATGTCTTTGATTGAATATCAGACTACCTCATCAACATGGCGGAGGTTGGCTCAGAGGCAGACACCCGGGTTTCGTTCCTGAACCACACACAAGCACACGCATGCGCACACAGAGTCACCTAAAATGGTTCTTACGATGCGCTGCAAGAGTTGATGCCATTTTGGGGATTTGAGCTCCGCATGCTCTCAACTCTCCTGTCCTCAATTCTTACCTTTCTTCCCAGGGTTAACACGGAAGGCCCGGGGGAAACAGGGCAAGGTGGAACGTACTCTGAAGTGCAGAGGCTCCAGCTGAGGCCCAAACACCAGGAGGAAAGTTTCTGAGTGCCCCTCCCCAGCTGAGCCCCCTCATCGCTCAGTCGTGACACCCAAACTCACCTGTCTAAGGCTAAGACAGCAGCACCTAGGAGCTGTCCCCGCACTAGCTTCGGAGAATAGAGTCAAAGAGCAGCCAGTAAGTCACCACAAAGCAGCCCTGTGTAGACCAAAGCCCACCCAGTCCTTCTACAGGTAAATCTGGGAACTCATCGGGAAGTTGTTGTTCAGAGACAATGACAAGGTGGGAATGTGCTATTGCTTCTAAAAGACAGAATATTGACGAATTACTATTTACCAGTTTAGTCAGATTTCTTCAGAAGGGAAGTTCCTCCTTGTATGACTGTCCTAATAGAAGGAAACGAGCCCATTCCTTCCTAAGTGTTTTATTTTCAGCACATGGTAGCTGAGAAATTTGGTTCCACCAGTAGCACACATGTGAACTGCAGGAATGAGATTTGCAAGTGACTGGCACAGACCCCAGGGAACCATGCCAGACGAAGGAAGTAGAAATGTCATAGTTTCCCACAGTTGCTAGGCACCTCACTGCAGCCTGGGTAATGAGGATGCATATTTGGTTCAAAAGTCAGAATACCTTTCTTATGACAACCAGAAGTCCTTTTATTAGAAACTTTTGAAGCCAGGTGTGGTGGAGCATGCCTGTAATCTCAACTCTTGGAAGGCAGAGGCAGGAAGATCATTGCAAATGTGAGACCAGCCTGGGCTACAAAGTGAACTCGGGACCAGCCTGAACTGCATAGAGATACCCCGTCTCAAAAAGACAAAAAAAGACAAAAAAACATTTTGGTGCGCTAAACAGCACAAATCCAAATGATAATGAACAGATCCGTGCACAAGCCTGTAACTTAGTCCCACTTGTGTACATGCATGACATATATAGACACAATACACACACACACACACATATACACACACGCACCAAAAGAACCCATACTTTTGCACATTTTACTGTCCTGTAAACTGCAGCATTTTGTAGAGCTATATGCCTTTTAAAAATAACACCCTGGAGCACATGTATACATGCTTTTCCTGGCCAGTACAGCAAGTCCAATTTATTATGAAAGAAGAGAAAGAGAGAGGGAAGAAAGACTTTCACCAATGGGTTTATTTAGAAGGAAGCAAATTAAATGGAACTATGATGACAACAGCAGATGTCTAATTATAATTCACCTCCCTAATGCTGATTAATATATTCATAAACACATCAAAAATATTGCCAAAAGAAAAACGCTACTGTTAACACCCCAAGGCCTCCTGGTTTCCCTTGTGCTTTTCAATCACGCAAAATGTTCCTTTCTTGGCTACGAACACTATTTATTTTGCTTCCTGCCAATCTTGAAAACAATTTATCTTGTGTGTCATTTCCTCATAAATGCTTCCTGGTGCTTGATTGCTTTGCCTGTGTGGCATTTGACTTCAAACTGCCATTTTACCTTTGTAAACATTTAGAACTGTCTAAGCATGAGGAAAATATCCAAAAGGCATACAAAAATAAGGCTGTAATTAGGTCAGCAGAGTACGTCTTACAGCGTACCAGGCTTTCTGCATATACCAGAAATGTCTCTTTACATCCAACACTACATTCCCAATCCGAGTGCAAAAGATGAAATTAACATCGAGGGACTCCAACACAGAGGCCCCAGTATCAATATGTTTAATTTATTATTATTGCAAAGAACAGTTTTTCCATGATTAGTGAAACAGAAAACATAATATATTCAGGGATCTAAACCTAGACCATTTAAAAGGTGGGGGAGAGAGTGGAGAAAAACAGAAAAAAGTTACGTCAGTTACCACTTGATTTCTGTAGTAAACAATAGAATATGACGTGCAATAGTGCAATTTTCTGTTGCTAGTCCAGCAATGCAAGTCTTAGTAGGAAATCCATCGATAGCACTTGCATTTCAGGGTTTAGCTGTGTGCTTGCCGGGGGTTAGAGCTTCTGCCAGACTTCTGACTCTGAGTGGGCTCACTGACGCTAGAATCACTTTTATTCAGTCCGAGATGACGGAGCTTCATATCCCAGCGCTGTGAAATTCAAGAGAAAAAAATAGCCACACACATTTATCACCAGAGTCACCATTTCTATGACTAAGAGCTTGATCAGACTGCCAAGTCAGATCTCCAAGGCATTTTACTGCTTTTCCAAAGGTATAAAATATACATCGCAGAGAAACAAGAATCTGATACTATATGAACATCACGCTCTAACTTTAAAATGCACAAAGTTGTCCGTCATAATGTACTCAATGATACTTTCATTTCAATCCTTAAAACTAAAATTTCCATGTCTGTAAATGGTGATTCAAGTATCTACCAATCTCTGTGAGCATTTCCTGACATAACATACAAATGAAAGATTTACATAGAATGTTTAGAGGACTTTTTTTAAACTTCTCTCTTAAGACACATAACAAGATAACCTTTTAAAACCTGTTTGACTTCAGCAGTGGACAAAAAAATGGCAGGATGATGTCCCTCAAACATTTTTCTAAGTAATATTTATCAGGTGCAGCAAAGAAAACGGACAAGATCCTGCCCTCATTTTGAGCTTTATAAAGCAAGCTTTGCAAGGTTTTTCATTAACAGTTCAATGGAAGTGTTTGCAATGTTTTTCATATTAACCATAATAATGTTCCTTGCATGTAATGTAAGAAATTAAAGGGAAGTTATGTTATGGGAGCGTAGTTATGTGAGAATGGTAGCTATAGTTCTGAAGCATCAGTGACGGAAATCACCTGCAGATCTTCTTAAAAATGTAAATTCCTACTCAGCAGGTCTGGGATGGGGCCCAGGATTTTTATTGCTAACAGACTATTGGTGGCAGCTCTGTCGGCCACCTCAGGGACCACAGTTCAAATAGAAAGACGCTACTATCAGATGGCCCGAGTCCAAATTCTAACTTCATGACTTACCCTACAACACTGCTTGAATTGAACAGACTTGTTTTTCATCATTTCTAGATTGGAATCAATAATATAATCTACTTTATATAATGACTCTGAAGATTGAAGAAAAAGAAAGTGCATACTATATAATAAATTAGGCATTACTATTTTTCTATTACTGAAAGTCTTTATTTTAGCACATTTCATTCCAAATTATTATTTCCTATTTTAAAAGTCTGATTCTCTACTCCCTAAGATAATCCAAATATCTCTGTTTGAACAATCTGCTGTAATCGTTTCTCGGCCTTTTGGCTAAAATCAAGTGTAAACAACTTGCTACAACAGACTTAAGTAAACTATCATTTTCATGGAAAAACCATAAAAAGGTCTTTTTTAAATACCTGACTTAACTATGTACAGCAAAATCAGCTGAAAAAAAGCAACTTTGATTAAATAAATGATAATGTCCCCCCAAAAATTATTTTTTACATCCTCCAGTTGACTAGAAAACTGAAAGAAGGATCTCAATAATTCTAGCCAAAGAAAGATTTTCTACCCAAACTCTTTGGCCCTGAGCATGTACATACAAATTAAAAATTGTTCAAGTCATGGAAATATTTCTTCCCATTATTATATTTAAATCCAGACTGAGAAAGTAAATGATATCACTGTAGCTCGTAAGTTCCGTGCTGAAAACAATGAGAAATATGTCCACTTATTAAAAAGCAGGACAAACAAACCATGTGTCCCATTGACAACACAAGCGGTGAAGCTTATTCCATGCTCTGCAGCAGAGATGCTGAAAGCTCTTCCAACTGGTACAGGAATTTAGGACAAATTCCTGTTCTGCATTAGCAAGCAGAAAACCAAATTAAAAGGACAGTAAGAGAGTCCAACATCCTGAGGAAGAGCTGCTTCTTTAATAAACACCAAACTAATTAAAGAGAGATGGAAGTGGAGAATGCCCACAGGTCTGCACTTAAAATGCATCTCACTTTTTAATAAACATACTGGCAGGGAGGACTTACTGGTGATAGCTTCTCCCTCCGAAATAAAGCCCTCTACATTTCTCTAGGTCACTTCAATGCAAATGTCTGCTGTGTTGAGTAACAGATGTGTAAGATCAACTGCCCAAGGGTGTTTAACTTAGCCTGTAAATGCTCCCCAAGCCTTCAAGCTGGCAGAGCGAAGGGATGTATTGTGTTTGGTATAGTTCCTACCTCCACCCCCACCCCCACCCCACACACATCCTTTGAGTCTCTTTATCCCTGCACACTTCCCCCAACATTCTTTCCCTTGGAACAGATTTCCTTAGAGCAGGAAAAATGAAACCTTCGATAATAAAATAATGTACTACTTGATTTTTGTTAATGTGTCACCAGAATCTGTTACTGGATTAAAAATAAAGCGAGGTTACTGTCCTAAGGACCTAATTTGGTCAGGTCTCTTCTACAGACATGACAGCGGCCGCACCCTGGCTACAGGAATTGGTGCCTGTGTACTGCACCACTTTGTTTTTTTCCTACCCACTGTTTATTTCCCCCTTCTCACAGAAGGGTAATCTGTTCAAGGAAACAATACATCTAGCTTTAAAAACAAAAAAAATGATATTTCCTAGCCTCCTTTGCAGCTAAGAATGGCTATAACACCAGCTTCTGCTCAGAACTCCTAAGGAAAGGGTTGTCGGATGGAGCTCTTTGAAATCCTTTTTTCCTTCCCTTCTTTCTGATGTATCTCGTGACCTCCAGGGAAACACAAGGACGAAAGCAGTAACTTACAAAGTGACAGACCAATAAGCTATGAGAAGTTCGGGATCCTAAGGCTAATGTAAAAACCACCCTATTAGGCTACCAGAACTACTGCTAGACTCGTTATGAGAAGGTAGGGCGTCTATAGTTAGATCCTGATATGCATACACGGAACTCATTCCTTGAAATAAAGTAACTATTAATGATAAACTCATTTCATGGAGTATTAAGTATGAAAATATACATGTTCTCATGTAGTTGAGGGAGGTATTTCATTTAAATGACAGTTGGTTGCATTCTACTTTTGCTTTCTGTGTATCCCATTGCTTTGAATGAAGTATACGTATCGGCTTACCTTAACTTTTTTACCAAGTCGATCTTTCCATTTCTCTGCTATGGAGCCTTCCACTAAGAGTAATCTGCATTTTTTAAACAGGCAATCAGTTTGGAGAAATTAAAATACATCATTGAAAAACACAAAGAATCAGTGCCAAAAAAGACTTCAAATGTTTATCCTAGAATAGGAGAAGTAAGCTTGAAAGCAGTAACTTACAATCATTTGGAAGTCAAAGACTCCTTTAAGGAATGAATGAAACTATGATCTATCTTTCTGGGAAAATTCATACATATACACTTCACACACATACTCTTCTACCCATATATGACACTGAGAGATCCAATTAAAACCCACCTGTAACCCACAAGAAAGCAGAAAGATCTTAAGATAAGTTCTTATCATAGTAGCATCTTTACAGAGAAATGCAGTGGGGGGACAGGCCAAAAATTATGCTGGCCTCTCAAGGCATGAATTACCTGGAGCGTTCCTCATCTTCGTAGCCCATGATGATATATTCCTCATTGACGTTAAGTGGCGGACACAAGCAGCCAGAGCTGGTGTAGAGGTTGACGGTGTCCCTCGGGATGTTCACCAGAGACGCTTTTAGAATCTCCTTCACCTCCACGACTGCAGTCACATCGTGGCACTTAGTCTTCAGCTCTTTCACTTTAGCCCGAATGACTGGAATAAAGGACAACACACCTGGTTCGGTAATATGCCACACAATGTCCGCCTCTGCTCGTAACAGACAGCTGGGCCTCCTTCTAGTCAGTTTCTAGCCACTGGGTGTTCACTGAAGAAAAGTCAACCATATATTTTTGCCTTAAATGTTAGTGAGTAAAAAACAGCCACATACTTCCCTTCCCAATGCTTTCCAATTTGTGTGTTTATATATATTTGGATACACACACACACATTTGTGTGTTCATGATCTTCATTATGAGAAATCCATTTAGATATTCAAAGACTGGATAATTTAAATTTTCTCTAAATTTTTACTTTGGTTTCGGTACACTACCTTTTATACTCTCCTTTGGTCATACTACATCTTCCTGAATAAAACTCATCACCATCAGACCTCGTTCCTCCCATGTGCTTGGAGGTCGCGGCCCCAACAGCCCCCCCTACCCCCGCAGCTTGTGAGAGAGCGCATGCGCTAACAGTACTTGCGTCCAGCCACCCCTGCTGGCATTCAGTCTGTCTCTCAAGAGCCAACGTCACTTCCCAATATACCGAGAAACTGCTTTCCACTTGCAGTCCAAGCACTTGATTTAGAATCTGGAACACAACAGTCCCGCTACTTTTCTGTATCTCTCCTTTAGACTGCAGCCAAATGAACTTTTTAAAGGAAGGTTTTTTTACAATACCCAGGGAGAAGCAAAAATGTCAATTAGCAAGAAGCCAAGAGCAGCGGCTCAGGAACCTTTACTGTACTAACTCAAGATCCGTGGATGTTATATACAGGAAAACACGATTTACCCACATGAATCCACTTTTTGAAAACTTCTTATGTATGAATCTGTGTATCACTTTGCAGACCTCTGTATATATTTTAGGAGCCTGAGACTACAAAGAGTTAGGAAAAGTAATCTACGGAAGTAACAAGTCATTTGTCCAGCTCTGTTTCGGCTCCATCACAGAAACTTAATTCCACCGGTACCGCACACAAGGGACAGAAGTTAAATTACTAATTCATTTCTAAATCTTTAGGATAAAAGCTTAGTTTTGCCTCACAGGCAGTTTAATCCTTAGGAAGCTACCTGCCTTAAGTATGAGAACTTGTAGCAAACAAAATAGCACTGCCTAGCTGTCCCTGCCTGTTTGCATTTGCAAATGGAGTCCTTTCCTATTGGCGTTCTCCCGATTCTGTATTTTAACAAGAGATAAGATTGCTTGTTTGAAACATCATTTGGGAGAATCCAATGATAAATTCTTGACCCTGCCTAGCAGACATTTTTTTGTGTTCTGGCTTAAATGAATGTGCTTCACAGCATCCATCAACCATTAGAGATTAGTGAACTGTGTAAATGTTCTCAAGCTAATGATTTATTTACCCAGTGTGTCTATTTTTATTAGAAATTTTTAGCGCATGTACCCACTCCAAAATAAATATCTCTCTACAAGACTTACTTTACTCAAGTAATTTCATTAAAATTCTAGCCTTTAACTCAATAAGGCTGAAGTTTTCTCTGAATTATTCAATTGCTCCAGCCGCCACTTTGTTTCTCGATAGATACATATAAAATGTATAAAATAAAAATCAATGTATTTTCCAAGTAAAAATGTATTTTCTCTTCAGAGGTTTTCCTTCTGGTCTGTTGTTCGAATGCCTGCCTTCCCTGCAAGTCCCAGACACATGACAAGCCTTGAATGATAGGGAACCTGGTTAATGTTTGACTATGAAAAGAATTTCTTCCTTTCTCATTTTATTTTACAATATTCACTTAGCTACCATCTCTAAGCTCCTCTCTTTCCACTGACTTGTAACCACTACTATTTTAACTTTTAACAAAAGTAGCAGCACCAACCAACATGAAAGAGGGTGAATAAAGGAAAAATTAATAGTAAGAAAAATAAAAATACAGTCAGGCATGGTGGCACACGCCTGTCATCCCAGCACTAGGGAGGCTGAGGCAGGTGGATCGGTGCGAGTTCGAGACCAGCCTGGGCTACAAAGTAAGTTCAAGGCTAGCCTGAACTGCATAA